TGGAATCTGGAATCTGGAATCTGGAATCTGGAATCAGGAATCTGGAATCTGGAATCTGGAATCTGGAATCTGGAATCTGGAATCTGGAATCTGGAATCTGGAATCTGGAATCTGGAATCTGGAATCTGGAATCTGGAATCTGGAATCTGGAATCTGGAATATGGAATCTGGAATCTGGAATCTGGAAAATTTCACGGAATACGGAATCAAATTAAATTCTCGGAATTTGGAACAATTAAAATTTTCCGGAATCCGGAACGAAAAAAAACACGGTAGCAGGAATTCGGACGTCTCTGATAACTACCGAGTAGTTCCGTAAAGTAAATTTTGATCTATTCTCATCACCATCTAGACAAAAAACTCACGTTTCCCTCTCAAAAACAGGAATAATCAACCGGAATCGTTCACTTATCACATGAGCCCTCCCCCATTTGACTCAATACACAATATGGAATGAAATCATCTTAAAATGTTGCCAATTTCTACCCAAACAAACCAACTTTTCTAGCCCCCTTATCAGGAAGCTTCCCTTAAATATATATCATTTTTTGACATTCATCACATTTTGATCATCATGAATTTGATTTATGCAATTCCTTTATTTGTTGGGCTTATTGGATCAGCAGTATCCTATAAAGTTCTAGTATTCAATCCGGCTTACGGAGCGAGTCATTCGAATTTTTTGGGCAAAATATCTGATATCCTTATTGATGCTGGAAATGAAGTGGTAAGAGTGAGAGCCGTTGGAAATTGTTGGAAAGTTTGGTTTTTTCAGACAATGCTAATTCCAGTATATCTGAGCAATAAGAGGAATCAAACAGGTTCAAAGAAAGTGACCAAGATTGTGGAAATCGGACAGGATCCACGAACGAAAGCAATATTTGAATCTGGACAAATCGAAGGCATCATAAAATCTAAAGTGTGGACTATGGATCCGGAGATGATGTCTCTCTTTGGAGTAAGCTAAAATCATAATACCTGTAACAGAAAGGTCCCCTAACTTTTATCTTTGAGCCAATTAATCTCGGTTCCTGTGAAAGATATAAAAAAGTTGTCAACTGATAAATTATTCATCATAATATCACAAACATTTTATTATTTGACACATTTTTTATCTCTCATACGAACCGAGATAATTGAGCTCGAAATGTGAAGGTTCTTATATTAAAGGGTATACGGTAATTTAAAACAAAATTTATCTTATAGATCATCAGTGAGATGAACATTGGAATTGGTTATCAATGTGAATGTGAGTTTCATTACATTCCTAATTTCCCAGATAGAAATTTCAGACATTTTCCAACAGACTGAAATTCTTGAACAACTTCGCAATGAAAATTTTGATCTAGCTATCACCGAATCTCTTTTTGCTTGTCCCTTTGGTGAGTATATATACCATAAAACCTGTAATACAAGCCCCCCCCCAATTATCACAATGCCTATGACAGATATCAAAAGTCTGTCAGCTGACAAAAAACCGTATGATATTATGACAAACAATTTATCAGTTGACAGATTTTTTGTATCTTTAACAGGTACCGAGATAAATAAGATCCAAGTTAAAAGTTAGGGAACTTCTCAGAGCGCAGCTCAAAGAAAAAATAGTTATCCTTTAAACTTCAGCTGTCTTCGATCACATTGGTATTAAAACAGTCATAAATGCGGAATCGAATTTATTCAAAGATGCCATGAAGTATGCCCATGGAGAGCCAGCTGCGATCAGTTATTTTCCGGGATTGTTCTCTCCGAATAACGACAAAATGTCTTTTTTCACAAGAGCCAAGAATTTGTTGAGAATGATGTTCACACAATATTTATTTGGATCGAGATACCAAAGAGAACTCAGAACAATCAAACCGTATTACAACGGAACAGAAAGTTGGACAGAACTTGTGAGCAATGTTGCATTCTACTTTATTAACTCAAATCAATATCTGGATTATGCAAGTCCAACTCTACCGAAGACAGTTTTTATCGGTGGGATGCAAGTGGTTACTAATAAAAAGAAGACGAAGCTGAATCAAGAATGGGATACTCTTTTGAAAATTAGAGACCAAAATGTTCTGATTTCTTTTGGATCGAATGCTCATTCATGTGATATGCCAGAAGAATTCAAGTGAGATGAAACATCAGATATTCTGTAAAGTTCATATTTCAGAAAATCGTTTCTCGAAGTCTTTGAATCAATGCCCGATACCACTTTCATTTGGAAATACGAAGATGAAAATGCCACGCTGGCTGATCATCTTCCGAATGTGAAATTGACGAAATGGATGCCTCAAAATGATCTTTTAGGTGAGACAGTTATAACAAACAATAACAATTTTAAGCCGATTCATGAAACAACAAAGTCTTCTTATCTATTAAAAATGTCATATTTTTCAGCTGATGATCGTCTAACACTATTCGTCACTCACGGAGGACTGGGTAGTACAATGGAGCTTGCTTATCAGGGGAAACCGGCGTTAATTGTGAGTGATGATCACGAGTCAGAAAATAATTAATCATCGTCGAATTTCTAGATTCCGTTACTTGCTGATCAACCTAGAAATGCTCACATGCTCACACGACACGGCGGATCACTTGAGTTCGACAAGAAGCTTCTGGGGAATTCAGAAGAACTTCGAAAAGCAATTCAGATGGTGTTGAAGAACAAGAAGTACCTTGCAAATGCTAAATGGCTAGCAGGTATTCTAAACTCTCAACCGTTTTCTCCGAAAGATGTCGTCCTGAATCATTGCAATTTTGCTGTCGAGCATGGAACTTTGAACACATTGAGTTCGGAGGGGAAACATTTAAATCTCTTCCAATATTATTCCTTCGATATTGCTATTGTTTTCTTAACTTTAACTGTTGTTTTTCTAGTTTTAACTGGTTTTATACTCTCGCTTCTTCTAAAGTTTTTGTCAAGAATTTTTAAAATCGTTTTCTCCACAAAGAAAAAGCTAGAATAAATATTTTTTCAAATTAAATAATATAGTTATTTTTTCGCTCGTTTTCACTGTTTTTTCAAATTTTCATTTATTTATTTATTTCAACGAAGGGGAGAAAACCACTAACACGTGAAATGTCTATGAAACTAGGAGATATAACAGGGACATACATTTGTAGTAATTGGGAGATGAAGGATAAACCGAGTTAGTAATTAGTTGAATTCAAGACAAGAAAATGTTTTATATCACAGGATAATAGTCGATTTTTGAAAGCCGCTGACGAGGGCTTCACCGGAAACACTTTGGCGGGTAAAGAGTTCCAACATCTGATTACTCTATTAGAGAGAAATTGAGAAGATATTTTTGTTGAGTTTTTGATAAGTGATTTGAGATAGTATTTGTGACGTCGCAATGATCCAGCATGATTAAATATTTCGAAAATTGGAACCTCCATGATAATTTCTTTGGAAACAATAATTTTATACGTGTAGACCAAATCATTATAGAGCCTGCGATACTCCAAGGAACTTAGCGCATTTTCCGATGTATCTGGAAGAAAAATTAACAAAAACCTAGAAAACTCTTGAAAAAACCGAAAAAAAAGTGAAAACGAGCGAAAAAATTGTAAAAGTTTGAATTCGCGCGCTTTCACTCACCGGGCGGCCTAGAAAAAAGCTCGTCCCTAAGGGCTTTCAGCGTATTTTTCGATGCGTTTTTCTCGCCGAAGGAATTTTTTTTGAATTTTTTCTTTATTTTTATGTCAATCTACATGCATTTCTGCACATTTTGATGCAATAAAAAATTTCACCGTACACCACCTTTAAAGGAACATAGTGCACTCTAGAAGGGTTTCAACACGATGTTCATAACAGCGAAACAAATTCCAAAAGATATTTTTGTTTCTTGCTTTTATTTGTCCTTTTTTTTCTGAGTTAAAGTTTGTCCTTTTCTGAGTTAATATTTTTAAATTGGTTTTCTTTGTCAAACATCGCGAAAAAATAGTTGATAATCAGCTGATTTTCGTTGCTTTTGCTACAGCGAAAAAAGTTGTATGGTGTTCTTCATGACCATAGAAGTTTTTTAGGCCTATTCATAGAATTTTGAGAAATGCGGAAAAACGAATTTGTCCGCATTCTTCGACATTGTATGAAAAAAGTAAAAATAACACATTTTTTGTCATGAATAACCGCATTATTTTCTCACAGATTCGTTCGAACCAAATTACTTTTCGCTTTCGTTATCTTTAAAATGTTTTTTTTTTCATCCGAATGATATCTTTTACAGAGTATGACTGATACTCCTCCCATCAAGAAGCATACTCCTCGCGTTCGTAGATCATCTGATGTTAGCTTGAGCGCTACATGTGCATCTACTCCAAATAATCAGCAATCGGTTAAAAGAAGGGTATCAGCAGCGAGCAGCGTGAGTGAGAAGAAGAAGCCAAAAAGAAACAGCTATGAGCCCAAAAAGGATCAATACATACACCCATATGACCACATTTTCCACTGGTCCGATCGTAAACTGAACGATAATTCTTACCTCGGAGTTAAGAGCTTGAGATATTCCGGAGCAGATATCAAATTAGAAGAAGACAGAATTGAACTGGCTGCTAAAACAGTATTAAGGGAGAAGAATGAGTTTGCTGAGAAAGAATTTGCAACATTGTTTCCTGATGATAACTCGGATGACAGCGATGATGCCTACCAATTGAGCAAGGATGAAGATGTTGCAGACGATGAAAATTACTCTGACTCAGAGAAGTATTTTGAGAAGGCGAAATACGTTCCATTGACTTTAACTACAACGGGCGGAACAAGAATTACTGTACCACCAGTTAGAAAGCCATACGAAATGACGAAAATGCGGTTCGTGGAACCATTGACTGAAAACGTTTACCGTGACGATCAGCTGCAGTTGACACACTTTCCACAGTTTGATGAGTTTCCTGTTGATGATCTAGACTACGATGCCGTCACAGCATTCCTTCACAGGGTTCGCTTTTCACGATTTGATTAAATGCAATTTAAACTTTTCAGACTTTTCCAAATGGTGTCCATGGAAATTGGAGGAATAAATTCGAGACGAGTGACGAGATGTTTTATAAAACATTGATGGCGGTGCTACCCGGAACGAAGAACCTCGATCTACTTTACCACGCATTCTTCAATACTTTTCCCAGCTATGGCGCGCTCGATGAAGTTCCTAAAATGTTTCATCGACTGCATAAGAAGTACTCGAACGGGAAGGTTGATTTGGAAATATTGGAACTATTGGATTCGTTGAAAGATCCAATGAAGACTAAATCACTCCCCTACTTCAAGAAGTTTCCTTTTGACGTCAAGTATCCCGACACTCGAGAAAACTTCATTGTCCGATTCATCAAAATTGCGGAGGAAGCGTGCTCTGATAACTGTTATTTACATGATGATGAGCTAGCAACACGAATGGAAGGATTCTTTGATGATCCCGATTCGAAGCAGCTAACACTATTCATTCTCAAATCAACCAAACGGCAGTGTTCTGAGTTTCTCAACACTCTTCTGATGCGAGACGATAAAGACGTCGTGAAGAACTTTTGTCAAACAGCAAAGCTTTTTCCCAATGGCTCATGTGCTTCTTGGTTCAAAAAGTTGCTTGATTCTGCCAGCTACTGTGATGCAATGGCATTCCAACAAAAGTGAGTTTTTTCAGAAAGGTTCCTTGTAATTTGTAGTTTTAGAAGTTACGCCAGAAGAATGGAAAACTTTCGGCATGCTCAAAAGGAAGACAAAAAGAGAAGAAGAGAACAGAATAAGGGCGAGGAGGACAAGTACGAAGATTACACAACTCATTGTGATCATCTCGGTCCTTGTGGCCCAGGAGTTCGAAATTGTCCATGCAAACGCTTCTGCACAGTCTTCTGCAACTGCGACTTCAATTGTAACCGAAAGTTCCCAGGTTGCGAGTGTCCGCCGGGAAAATGTCAGACCCGACAATGTCCATGCTTTGAAATGGACTTTGAGTGTTCAGAATTAACATGTAGACAGTGTCTTGAAGATTATACCCCGGAACTCTCGTCGTGTGACAATTACGAAATGACACAAGGAGACTTGAAGAAAATCCGTGTTGGAAAGTCGAGCATTGCTGGCAACGGCGCCTTCCTGGAAGAAGATGTGAACAAAGAAGTATTTCTTGGTGAATATGTCGGTGAACGAGTTTCTAGCGAGGAGGGAGAACGCCGCGGAATTTTTTATCGGCTCAATATCAGTTATACTTTTGGTAAGCTAGTTTCAATATCAGTTATACTTTTGGTAAGCTAGTTTTTCTTTTGGTAAGCTAGTTTTAATTTTTTTTCAAAAAAGCTTTCAGCTCTTGCCGACTCTGGTGACGTTGATGCCCTGCGAGCCGGAAATGTACTTCGGTTCCTCAACAATTCGGATAAGCCAAACTGCTACATCCAATATAAATACGTCAAAGGAGATCTAAGAATTGGTTTCTATACGTTGAAAGCCATGAAGGCTGGCGAAGAGTTATTCATCGACTACTGCTACAAACCCGAGGACGCTGCCATGTTTTTCAGTGTTGCTCCATGTGATAGAGTTCCTAGAATTAAAGATGATATTCCCATTAAGGAGGTAAAGAAGAAAAACCAGATTAAGAAACCGAAAAAGTAGAAATCTTTCGAGCAATGACCAGTTCTTTTTCATCTGCATATGTTATTCATTGTCTCCTTATTCATTCTTCTGAAGTTCATCATCATTATTTATTTTGTTACGAATTACTCTGTTGAACTTTCTCTTTTTATGCACATCCTTGTCACCTTTTACATTTCATACCGTATTTCTTCTGATAGAACGCCACCTCCATAAAAAAGGGCCTTGGAATGGCAAATATTTCGTTGATTTAAAATTTCTTGATATTTTTCTTCCAGAGAGTGGCTTTCTATAAGAGGAGATACGTTTTCTCAAATTTATTGTTCACCGTTTTGGCTGTCACCGGCACCCCGATATCTGGCTTCGCGCCACTCACCCAACCAAGTTTACTGTAAACGTTATTCTGTTCTTTAAAGAAGTCTTGTTTTTTTTAATGTTTTCGAATACAGAAAAAAACGAACAATTCATAGACTCAGACGAGCGAAAATTAGTGATTTCTAATGATATATGTTTTTTGCCATTTTTTCCAGACTCTAAACTACGGGAGCAATCGTTTCGTGTAGTTTTTCCGAGTTCCGCCGTGAATCGATTTGTTGATTCACATGAATTTCTCATTCTTGTCCATTTACGACGGGTCTCGAAGAAAAAACAGTCTAAACGAGAAAATCGTAGTGTCGCGTCTGAAAATCTGGAAAAAAGTGAACAGCGTTTTTTCCAAGAAATTTCTCTCAGACATTTGCTTTGAACAGTGTATTAGCTAGATACTATGTGAGCAAAAAAATGAATGCATATTTTGAGAATCAGCCACAATGCACACTTCGGAATTGGAAATTCCTTATCGTACAAACCACATGAACAGCCGATTCTTCTTAAACTCATTGAGAAAAAAGGATTCACTTCTGACACTAAAGTTACTAAAATGAGAATCTTAATTCTTCTTTCTCTTATTTTCACAATATGCAGAAGCTACAAAGTTCTGGTTTTCAATCCTGCTATGGTTGGCAGTCATTCTAATTTTCTTGGAAAAATTTCTGATATTCTGATAGATGCTGGCCATGAGGTCACAATGCTGATTCCGGTCTTAATGCACGAGAAAAGAGATCTTTTGTTGGTTCGAAAAAAGTTAAGAATACTATCAGAGTTGAGCAAGATCCCCGAATTTTTCAAATGCAACAAGAAGCAACTACAGACGAGATGATAAAGAAACGTGTATAGACAATGGATTCTAACCTGTCGTTCATGTTTTCGGTAAATAAATAAAACTGAAGAAAAATGTTTGAAAATTTGTTTTCAGATGATTGCGAATTTCAGCAGAACCGCTGCTTTTCAAACAGAGTGTGAGTTATTGTAGTTTTTCGTGTCTTATCACAAAATGTTATACAGACATGTTTCAACAGACGGAACTCATCGACCAACTTCGAAGAGAAAAATACGACTTAGCTATTGCGGAATCTATATTTTTCCATGCTTTTGGTATGAAACGAATAATGGGAAAACTCATTGAACACTTTTTAGCGCTCTTTGAGGAAATTGGTATTCGATCAGTTATCAATACAGACAACTCTTTTCATGACTGGAATGAAAGGTGCAATTGGAGAGCCATCTGCAGTTTCATACTATCCTGCATTATACTCATCGGATAACACAAATGGATTTATTGGAAGATTAAAGAACTTCGTTGGATATTTCTTGGGGAGCACATTTGATACGTGGAAGTATGATGCTGAAATTGCAGCTCTTCCAAAGACCTACAAAGGTCCAAGGTGTTGGAGAACACTGCTTAGCAATGTTGCATTCAACTTTGTGAACTCAAATCCATTTATTGATTATCCATCTGCCACTCTTCCCAAAACAGTTTTCGTTGGTGGTATGCAAGTGAACACAAAGAAGCAAGGAAAGGTAAAATTGTCAAAAGAATGGGATGATGTTTTTTCGAAGCGATCAAGAAACGTCCTGGTTTCTTTTGGTTCTATGGCATTTTCATCATTTATGCCTGATGAATACAAGAAAACCTTTTTGGAAGTCTTTGCATACATGCCGGACACTACATTCATTTGGAAGTACGAGGAAGCAAATGTGACTTTGGCAGATCATCTTCCGAATGTTAAACTGACCACTTGGATGCCTCAAAACGATCTTTTAGGTGTGATTAAAGACTAAAACTCGTTCATTGTTTTGGATTCCAGCTGATGATCGACTCAACTTATTTGTTACTCATGGAGGTCTTGGAAGTTCGATAGAACTCGCGTATCAGGGAAAACCAGCTGTTGTGGTGAGATTCTTTTGAGCTAGTGGTTATACAGGTCCACATTTTGCAGGTTCCACTACTCGGTGACCAACCCAGAAACGCTCACATGCTCACAAGACACGGCTGAGTTTGTTCAACTTGATAAGGCTCTTTTGGATCAACCAAATGAAATTAGAAAACCAATTCACGCTGTTCTGGATGATTCGAACTACAAGAAGAATGCGGAAAGACTTGCCAAGGTTCTGGAAGATCAGCCAAATAAGCCGAAAAATGTTGTATTGAAACATTGTGATTTTGCAGTTCAATTTGGACCACTGGAGACGTTGAATTCTGAGGGACGTCATCTGAATACGTTTGCATATTACTCATTAGATATTGCTCTTGCAGTTATTGTTGTTCTTTTAGCTGTATTGTTTGTTATGTATCGTATTGTTAAACACATTTTGTTCAGGGTTGTTAAGAAAACAATATTTACTCCAAAGAAGAAGATTGAATAGGAACTTTTGTATTCTGTGAATTCGTTAATTAAAAAAAGATTATAATTTTTTCTATCCACCGAGATTTGTCCAATTTATTTCTGTTGTGACTGAAAAACATTCATAAAATCGGCTGAATGAAAACGAAGCTAATAGCAAGAAAATGAACAGACGACATACCTACCAACACAAATGTACGATTTGTTCTGTAATGGCACGAAAGACGACACTCCGTAAAACCTGTAATAAAAGTGCCTCCACACTGTCAAGTTTGAGCTTAATTATCTCGATTCCAATGCAAGGTATCAAAAATGTGTCAACTAATAAAAGACTTCTGATAATAAACAATTTATGAGTCGACAACGTTGTTATATTTTGACAGAAACTGAGAAAAATTGGCTCAAAGTGAGGAGCGAGGGGCTTTCCTATGACAGTGTTCAGGGTATGTGAACTTTAAAATTTTATTATGTACAAGTCTCCGAGATCAGTGATCATATACATGTAGTTACTTAACTGTAACCGCTGTTCAGTACTTCTGATCGATGTGGAACTCATCGGACGTCATGTGAAGTGGGATGACTTTCAGAAACTTCACGATTTTTTACTTTTCTCCACAATGAATATTCTTTGTACAGGAAGCACCAAAAATGAATGAAACAAGTCATAAATTGTCTGCTTCTGCTCTTTCTTCACATATTCTTGTGTCCAACTTTCATAAACCATAAACTGCCTCAAAAAACCTCTCCTTATCGCACAGACCATACCCATAGCTGCTCCACATAAAAACGTCGGGCCGATAATGAATCTGCACTCATCATTTCAAAATGAAGTTTTTAATTTTTATATTGTTGACACTTGCTATTGAGTTATGCTCCCCTTACAAGGTGCTAGTTTTCAATCCAGCTTTTGGAGCGAGTCATTCAAACTTTCTGGGAAAAATATCCGATATTCTAATTGATGCTGGCCATGAAGTCACCATGTTCATACCGGTTTTTGTCGACGGAAAGAAAGATTTGGTTGGTTCAAAAAAGGTCAAAAACATTGTTAGATTGGAGCAAGACCCAAGAATTTATCAAATGCAAAAAGAGGGAGCAACAGAGGAATTGATGAGAAAGAAAATCTGGACCATGGACTCTGATATCTCTGCTATGCTTGGAGTGAGTTTTAGGAATGAATAATTAAATATTTCAAATTTTCAGTTTGTCGCCAACTTCAGCAAAACAGCAGCCTACATGAGTGATTGTTAGTTGCTCAACAAAAACTCGGCATTTTTTTTAAATTGAAATTTTCAGTCTTGTTTCAACAAACCGAACTTATCGAGAACTTCCGAAAAGAGAAATTTGATCTTGGTATTTCTGAATCTTTGTTCGTCTCTGCATTTGGTAAGTGGTCCTGTGATCTTCAATAATAACAATTCCAATATCGTTTAGCTTTGTTCGATGAAATCGGAATCAAATCAGTCATCAATGCAGACTCGACACTTTACATGAGTGGTATCAAAAGTGCTCTCGGTGAGCCAGCTGCTATTGCCTATTATCCGGGACTTTTCTCTCCAATTGATGATAAAATGACATTTTTCGGAAGAGTGAAAAATCTGATGGGTTATCAGTTTGGAATGCAGTTCAGTACTTTAAAATATGTCGCCGAGATGAAAGCTCTTCCAAAAAGCTACAAAGGACCGAGAGATTGGCAAACACAATTGGATAGAGTTTCTTTCAACTTCATCAACTCGAACCAATACATTGATTATGCCAGTCCTACTCTCCCAAAGACGGTTTTCGTTGGCGGAATGCAAGTGAATACTAAAAAAAGTGGAAAGGCAACTCTATCGAAAGAATGGCATGATGTTCTTTCCCAGAGGAAAACAAATGTATTAGTTTCGTTTGGATCAAATGCATTCTCTTCGGATATGCCTGATGAATTCAAAAAAGCCTTTTTGGAAGTCTTCGCAGCGATGCCGGACACTACATTCATTTGGAAGTATGAGGAAGCAAATGCTACGTTGGCAAGTCATCTGAAAAATGTGAAGCTGACCACTTGGATGCCTCAAAATGATATTCTCGGTAGGTCCGTTTCTTTTAAAAAATAAAGAAAAAAGTTAATTTCAGCTGATGATCGTCTGACCCTTTTCGTCACTCATGGAGGTCTTGGTAGTTCTGTCGAGTTGGCTTATCAAGGGAAACCAGCTGTTGTTGTAAGTTCCCTTTAAGTTCAAAAGCTAAATCACATTTCTATGTTCAGATTCCATTGATGGCTGACCAACCTAGAAACGCCCACATGCTCACAAGACACGGTGGAGCTCTTCAACTAGATAAAGCTCTTTTGGATCAACCCGATGAAATTAGGAAAGCAATTCAAACTGTTCTGAGCGATTCGAACTACAAGAAGAATGCGGAAAGACTTGCCAAGATTCTGGAAGATCAGCCAAATAAGCCGAAAGATGTTGTATTGAAGCATTGTGACTTTGCAGTACAGTTTGGACCACTGGAGACGTTGAATTCTGAAGGACGGCATCTGAATACATTTGCATATTACTCATTAGATATCGCACTTGCAGTTATTGTTGTTCTGTTGATTTTGTTATACGTTTTTCATTTTGTTGTTAAATTTGTGTTTAGGTTAATCAAGAGAACAATCTTGAGACCAAAGAAGAAGGTAGAGTAAGAATTATTTAGTTTTTTTTGAAACAGAATCTCATGTGTTCACTTTTCTTTGAATTCATTCAATCATTTTGATCGTCTCTTGTTCAATAAAATACTGATTCGTTATTTTCTGTGACTTGTGAAAATTAATTTCCTTCCGTATAGGATTTTTCCGGGTAAACTGGTCACAGTGTACCCAAAGTTTAACTGTTGCTCCAAACGTATTAAATTCCGACATTTCAAAACTATGTCAGTTGAAAGAAATCAAAAATACATGAATCAAAGATACATCACACTGAAAAACGTCAGAAGTATCAACCCATTTTTTGTATTATCGGAAGAAAGAGTGGTCAGTTCTATCAAAAGTTTTCATTGCACTTTTGGCAGTGCGCGTCGACACTGAAAAATGAAAATTATTTTTTTAGTTTTCTTGCTTTTTATTCATGTGTCCGGCTACAAGGTTCTAGTTTTCAATCCAGCTTTTGGTGCTAGTCATTCAAATTTTCTTGGAAAAATTTCCGATATTTTGATAGATGCAGGTCATGATGTGGTAAGATTCAATGAAAAAGTTAACATTCCTTGAATATTGTTACAGACAATGTTAATTCCCATCTCGATGGAATCCAAAAAGGATTTGGTCGGGACTAAAAAATTATCAAAAGTTATTAGAATCGATCAGGACCCAAGGTCTCGGATAATGCAAGAAGAGGCGAAAACTGAGGAAATGATAAAGAAACAGATTTGGAAACTTGATGCAGATATTACTATTTTCTTTTCTGTAATTTTTCCTCGTTTTGACTTCTTATATATTTTTATATTTTCAGATGATCAAGAACTTCAGTATCGCCAGTGGTTATCAGTGTGAACGTGAGTTTTGGGTGGGGAGAGAAGTGCAATGATAGTAGGTTTTTTCTGTCAAATCGATAGTGATGACTGTTTTAATTAATGATTGGAAAGATGTTACAATCCATATGAAACATCCGTAGTTCGAAAATTCAGACATTTTCCAACAAACTGCCATACTTGACCAGCTCAGGAGTGAAAAGTTTGACCTGGGAATTACGGAATCCTTATTTCTTTGTGGTTTTCGTGAGTGGATAAATTATGCCTCTCATATTCAGTATTTCTTTTTTTCAGCACTTTTTGATCATATTGGTGTCAAAACAGTGATTAATGCGGACTCTGTTCTCTATCTAGATGTTGTTAAATATGCAATGGGAGAACCTGCATCAACTAGTTTCTATCCTGGAGTCTTCTCGAAAAACAATGACAAAATGAATTTTTTGGATAGAACAAGAAACCTTTTTGGAATGGCATTTTCTTGGTATTTTTCATGGTCAAGATTCCAAGGGGAAATGGAGGCTATCAAACCATATTACAATAAATCTCTGACATGGGAGGAACATATCAACAGGGCAGCTTTTTATTTGATAAACTCAAATCAATACCTCGATTATCCAAGTCCAAGTCTTCCAAAAACAGTATTTATTGGAGGAATGCAAGTGAATACGAAAAAGAATGGGAAGGTTAAATTGGATGAAGATTGGAATGATCTTTTGAATCAGAGAAAACAAAATGTACTAGTTTCATTTGGATCGAATGCATTCTCTTCGGATATGCCTGATGAATACAAGAAAGCCTTTTTGGAAGTGTTCGCATCGATGCCAGAAACTACATTCATTTGGAAGTATGAGGAAGCGAATGCAACTTTGGCAGATCATCTGCCAAATGTTAAATTGACCACTTGGATGCCTCAAAACGATTTATTGGGTAAATGAGAATCAATAAAATTACTGAATTTTTTATTTCAGCTGACGACCGTCTGACTCTCTTCGTCACTCACGGAGGTCTTGGTAGTTCCGTGGAGCTCGCTTATCAAGGAAAACCAGCTGTTGTCGTAAGTTATTTTTTCGTTCAACCACTAAATCATATTTCTATTTTCATATTCCCTTGATGGCTGACCAACCCAGAAACGCCCACATGCTCACAAGACACGGTGGAGCTCTTCAACTGGATAAAGCTCTTTTGGATCAACCAAATGAAATTAGAAAAGCAATTCAAACTGTTTTGAGCGATTCGAACTACAAAAAGAATGCTGAACGACTTGCCAAGATTCTGGAAGATCAGCCAAATAAGCCGAAAGATGTTGTATTGAAGCATTGCGATTTCGCTGTCAAATTTGGAGACTTGAAAACATTAAACTCGGAAGGAAGAAATCTAAACACTCTTCAATTCTATTCTGTTGATATCGTTCTAAGCGCTCTGGTTTCGTTTTTCGTTGTGTTGCTTGTTATTTTGTTGCTCTTAATTTGTGCTTTCAGGAAGTGCTCGAGGCTGTTGAGCAGTGAAAAACGTAAAGTTGATTAGTTGCTTAATTTTATTTGGTTAGGCAAATAAATAATTGAGATGCCCTTAATTCCGTCTTGAATTCAAACAAACAGCACCACCGGATTGATGGCATGTGAAATAACAATTTGTTCATTTTCTGGAAGTTTTGTTAGAATTCGACAGGGATACATTCTGACACGTTTTCCGAATAACTTTCCACCTCCTAATTGTGTGTCTTTTTCGACGAGCATAATTAAACTTGCAGTTATAAAACTTTTTTGATTCGCACGTAGCATGAAAACCTTGTGTGTAGATGCTCAAACCACCTGATCAAACATCATGAGAGTTCAGCAGAAGAAGATTTGATCTTACACATTGTCAAACTTTTTTCAAAAAATCAAAAATAGAAAAAAAGGTGTCATCCAAAAGTTTTTCAAAATATATCCTATAATCTTTTTTTCAAAATATATCCTATAATCTCTTCACAAAACTTTTTTTCGCATTTCCTCTGCAGGTGGCGATTTTCACACTGCATATTAAACAAACTAGAAACGAAATTTTTTATTTCTCTATGATTATTCCCATAGCAACATAAACTTTTGATTTCAGTTGCTGCATGCTTCGTCTCGTGATTTTCCCAAATTCTTCCGTTATTTATGAGCTCACATTCCTGATTTCCTTTTTTCATGGTTTTTATTGCATGATGTTGGCAATTATTTTTGCTCTTTATGGTGAGGAAAAATTGAGTGAATTTCTTATCCTTCTTTTCAATGTCCCTTTAAATCGGTTTTTGTTGAGAACAACTATTTCATTCTTCGTAAACGATCGAACAAAATCAACCGTGTTTAGCGTAATTGAATCCCACACATACCGTAAACATTGAGCTATATTAACTCGATTCCATGTGAAAGATATGAATATTTTGTCAACTGATAAAATATTAGTGATATTATGATAAATAATTTATTGGTTGACAAATTTTCCATATCGTTCATAGGAATCGAGATAATTGAGCTGAAAGTTGATGGTTTGGGATGTCTTCTAAATAGTAAAGAAATCCTACGCATTCAATTTTTATTCTGGCTGTTCTTAAAAAAATTAAACTAATTTTTTACAGTTATGACTGTTGAAGTTTTATGAGAAATGAGATGCCCCAACCTTTTCCCTTTTCTCTTTTATTTCATACCTGCCCACCTCAATTGAACCCGTTTTTTCACAGTTACAGGTCTTGAAGTTTAATTAGACATAAGATCCTTCAAACTTTATACTTGTCTCTTTTTTCTAAACCTAAATACTTTTATTTATCAAAGTTATTGATTTCAGATGACATTGAACACCGTTTGACCGATTCAAAGACCTACTTATATCAAATGGAATCTGGTAAAGTAAGTATACATTGAGTTTATCTTCTACTTAATTTTTATTTTTCTAACTCTAACTTCTTTACAATAAAACTCGCAAATTTTTCTTTAAAATGTAGAGTTTCCATATGTGATGTAAACCAAACACAGCTTATTCAAAAAGGATCCCAATAAGTTTTCCTTTCAGATACATTTCGATCGAGAACTCAAACTCAATGCGTTCAGTCGGTTCTACCGTACCGCTCCAGCTCCAGATGAAACATTCAAACGTACAATCGATTCAGATGTTCAAAGTGAGCTGAATAAGTACACGCATTCTGATGCTATTCGGTTTGCTGCCAAATCGTGGACTTGGGAATCGAATACAGGGGAAGAGTTGCCACGTAGAGAAGATAAAGGAATTCAAACTTTTCGGTTCCAAACCGGAATCCGTGCTTATTATCGTGTGTTAGCTGATAAAGGAGACAGTTATGTTCTAATTGCGTGTCATGCTAATCTGCACGGATATCACCGAGGAGATCTTCGGTTCGTGGAAGTTAATGATACAACTGAAACACAAGGAATGGGGAAGTCTAGTATCATTGGAAAACTCTATCCGGGGGATGTGGTTGCTATTGTGGAACTGGCCAAAAAGAAAAATGTTCCATTGAATCCGCCCGGAGTGTTTCAAGTTCATCCTGAATTCGAGTGCTTTTGGGAAGTCCGCCATATGACGATTCTTATGAGAAAGCAAGATCGAGAAGTTAACTTTGCGATTATCGAAGATGGAACAGCAGTAGTTGAGGGGTTCAGTCGGTCAATGAATGTCTTGGATGATTCGTTGAGCACGCCACTGGAAGTCAATAAGATCTATTTCGGATACGCTTTCATTCCGGAAAGAGTCAAGATGAATTTCACTGAAGATTTCGATCGAAAATATGAGAATCTGCTGACTGCCTTATACTCCAAACTTCCAACATATGCCCATTCATCTGGAACAATATTCACTTATGCTCCTTCTGAAATGCAGACAAGATTCTTCAAAATCGGACGTGACGCCTTCTGTAAACACGCGTACCGTTTGTATGGGTCCCAGCCAAATAAAGTGGTTGAAACTTGTGTGAGAATGGGAGCAGCGGCTGCACAGACCATTGGGAATAATCGGTTCGATGAAAGAAGTTTTCCGATTCAGAGTGTTCAACAAGATGATCGAATTGTTTCATTTGCAATACCGAATCCTGAAAAACAACCCACTGAAGGTCGATGGTCCAACAATACCCGTATTGTTTTGAGTGGAACAAACCGTAAAATCTGTGCAATAATTGAAACCGTCGTGTTTGAGAATGATGTCAATTTCATTCGAATATCGGCTAGAATCCCAAAAGACTCTTCTCGAAACATAAATTTCAGAGAGGATACATGGATTGTTCATCAAGGCAAGTCGCCTGAGATCCCAAGAATCGATCGTGGTTTTCTGAGTAGACTTGAGGAAAACTCAAACGGAAGCCGAATCATCAAAACTCTCTATGGAGGAGAATCTATCAATTTGGACTCCTCCGAAATCGACTTGAACTCTTCATTCTGCTTTCCAAGTAGTCCAGTGATTGTTCTTAATGAATTTCAAAACGATTACGTCTCCAAGATTTTGGCAAATGTTCCAATTGTCCTCGGAAATTCACCATTTGGATGTGGAAAATCGATGACTATTGTCACAGCTGCAATCGAGATTCATAAACAAAATGGGCGGTTCAATGGGCATGGAAAACAGAGGCAACAATTGCTTGTTACACAAAGTAACAATGCTGGTGTGAGCCTGGTGGAAATTGCTCGAAAAATTGATAGCAGTCAAGTCAAAATCAAATTTCTGAGGTACATTAGCGAGAATAATTGGAATGTGCTTCCCGATTCTTCACGTACGGATTTGGATATGCCCAAGTTAATGAGGGATATGTTTGTACCATGGGCAATTGGCACAGTGGAAAGAACAACATCGTTGAATTTCTTGACAATTGGTATGAAACAGGCAATTGTTCGAAAAGTTGCTCAAGAATATCTCTATCCCTCTCAACTGGTTGGTGAAGCGAGCAGAATCTATGATACTTTGAATGAGTATGACAAAATAACTGAACCATCTCCAAGAACTCTCCGAGAGGCTTTCTTCATTTTCTATGAACCAGACATCATTGTATCCACTGCAGATTCTCTTCAAGGATTACTTTCCTGTAATCTCAGGCTACAGATCTCAAGCATACAAATCGATGAGGCTAGTCAGTTACCGGAGCACACTCTCATCTATATTTTACAAAGATTTCCTCACGCTGGATATGGTCTTGTCGGTGATATCAAACAACTGCCACCACACTGCGAGAAAGAGTTGAAAGGTCTTCTCAAAGATTACGGTATCGGAAACACAATGCAAAGAGCAATCAACGAATTGATGTTTCTTCAATCTAACCTCCTCTACGTCTACAGATGTCATCCCGTTACTACAGAACTGTTAAGCGACATGTTTTATGATGGTTCACTTATTCCGGGAGTCAGCGAGTTTGATCGAAACGAATTTATGAGAATGCGCCCAGACATTTGGCCAAACGTACGCTTCCCAATTTTGGTGTTGAACCAAAAAGGTGAGGGATACAAAGTTGGAACTTCCGTTGCGAACGAAGTCGAGAAAAATTATGTGTTACGTATTGTGAGCATGTTAACACGAGAAGTAAACGGCTACCGACTGAAAGAATCTGATATCGGTGTCATCTCATTTTATCGAGCACAAACGTCTCTTTTAACTGAAGCGTTCCGTAGCACTGATGTCAAATGTGGAACGATTGATGCGTTTCAAGGATCCGAGAAAGAAGTCATAATCGTTTGTTGTACCAATAAGAAGATCTCCCCCTTCATGCAACTTGGTAATCGTCTGAATGTTGCTTTGTCTCGTAGTCGTCAGGCAACGATTCTTATTGGTAATGTGGCTGGATTGAGGGAAGCGAAATATTGGGGAACAATTGTCAGGGAGGCGCAGGAGAATCAGTGCTTGATTGATGACGTAAGTACCGAGTTACCGCAAAAGACACCCTATACTTGCACTTTGAGCCAATTTGTCTCAGTTCCTTTGAAGGATATCAAAAAGAACTCACAAAATATTTTTGATATTATGGTAAACAATTTATAAGTTGACAACTTTTTTATATCTTTGGCAGGAACCGAGATAAATTGGCTGAAAGTTTAAAGTTAGGGGCCCCTCTATTACAGGTTTTACGGTATCCAAATACTGTATTATTCCAGATCAACCAGTTCGGTGTAAACGTTGGCAACTATTCCAATGGAAATGGAAAATTGGTATGGTATTGATAAGAAATTCGAAAAGATTCAAAAAGCTGACACTATTTTTTGAAAATTTTTCAGCCTGGAAACAACGAAAGTTCCTATGGTAATGGATCAGTTCGGACAAAGAGAAAAATCCATCAGCGTCATCAGGCTAATTATATTGTAGGAAACCAACAAGAGTTCAATCCGGCAAATATTTGGATTCAAGAACGGCAACCAAGAAAAATGAACATCGAAAACCTGTTTCGTTGAGTTGGTAAGCAGTCTGCTCGCTAGTTCAATGAATGAAATGCTTTGTTTCAGATTGCACAATATCTCAATCTTACCTTCAGTTATTCACATATTACTCTCTATTATTTTCATTCTGGATATCTTTTACGCCTTCCCATAACCAAACCTCAATCCACAATTCTGTACCTGATCTGAATGAACATGTTGTCTTTGATCTACTCAAACAGAGAGGTTTTATGATCTCTTATCAAACACAAACCATACGATGACCACACGGTGACTGTCTATTTGAAGAGGAGAAGTTTATATAAAAAGAACATTTCAGGTTTTAGTTATGCTTCCAACATGAACATCTATTCTTCACTCCTATCATTTTTACTATTCAATCTCTTGGATGCCTACAAGGTCCTCGTATTTAACCCAGCCTTTGGTGCTAGTCATTCCAATTTTCTCGGAAAAATTTCTGATATTCTCATTGATGCAGGTCACGATGTGGTGAGAATATTTTTCAAGACACAATTTCTATAAAAATATGTTCAGACAATGCTGATTCCCATCTCCATGCAAAGTAAAAAACACCTAGTTGGTTCGAAAAAGGTCAAGAAAATCATTAAAATCGAACAAGATCCTCGTAGTATCGAGCTCTATCGAGAATCTGGTCATGAAGATGTTCTAAGAAAACAAGTTTGGAAAGTTGATTTGGATATTTTCAAGTTTTTCGATATGGCAGCGAATTTCAGCAAAAATTGTGGGTATCAATGTGAACGTAAGTTAAGGAAGTTTATGGTATTTTGAAAACAAGATTTTGTATTTCAGAAGTTTTTAAACAAACTGAAATTCTCAAGAATTTGAAAAAAGAGAAGTATGATTTGGGAATCACCGAGTCTTTATTCATTTGTGGATATCGTTAGTTTTTCGTCTTTTTTTTTTTTGAAACTTCAGATTTTCAGCTCTATTCGACCACATTGGTATTAAAACCGTCATAAATGCAGATTCAGTTCTATTCATGGATATTATGAAAAATGCTCTCGGCGAACCATCATTCCCATCATTCTATCCAGGTATTGTTCATTGACTACTTTCGTTTCATCACTTTTTTTTGCAGCACTCATCTCACCAAAGACTGATAAGATGACTATGCTGGAAATAATCGGAAACACTCTTCAAATGATATTGCCCGCCTATTTTTCCAAGATGCGATTTGAAGAAGAATTGAAAATGATTGAACCATATTACAACGGAACAAAAACATGGAGAAAACATTTGGAAGGAGTTGCATTCAATATGGTCAACTCGAATCGATATCTCGATTATGCGAGCCCAACTTTGCCCAAAACAGTGTTCATTGGAGGAATGCAAGTGAATACAAATAAAAATGGAAAGGTTAAATTGTATGAAGATTGGGATGATCTTTTGAATCAAAGAAAACAAAATGTGTTAGTTTCATTTGGATCGAATGCATTCTCTTCGGATATGCCTGATGAGTTCAAAAAAACTTTTTTGGAAGTTTTTGCATCGACGCCAGATGTGACCTTCATTTGGAAATATGAGGAAGCAAATGCGACGTTGGCAAGTCATCTGAAAAATGTTAAACTGACCACTTGGATGCCTCAGAATGATTTATTGGGTGAGAAAATGTATTCTATGAAGACAAACCGTAAAACCTGTAATAGACGGGCCCTAACTTCTACCACTGACAAGGGAACCATGTTTAGCCTTTATCTCAGAATTTTTTCTAAATTCGCTCATTTATAGTTTCAAATACGGGCTTTCTTTCGATGTATTTGGTTTTTTGCACAAATTTCTAGAAGTCGAGTTATGGGCTGTTTAAGTGATTTCAATACTAATTTCTCACTTTTGGAGTGAGTTTTTGAAAGGGTTAATGGGAGTTTTTTGGCATTGTTTGAGTGTCAATCGCAATTTTAAAGGTTTCTCTACAATCTGACAGAGTTTCCTCATTTTTCAAAGAAAAAATTTTTTTTTGAAAAAATTTTTGCCATGGTTACCCTTTGCGAAATTTTCAATTTTTCCATACTTGTAAAATTACGGGCCGGCCCGCCAAAGCCCGGGCCCGGGCCCGGGCCTGAGGAAATTTTCAAGGCCCGGTGTCAAAAATTCTGTATTTTTGAGCCAAATTTTGAGCTCTCAATTCAATTTTTTCCATTTTTTTTTGTATTTCGGATTGTTTGTCTGTCTGATCAAAAAAGATCGAAAAACTCGAAAAAAAATTTTTTGAAAAAAAATCACATAAGGGTCCCCCTTATGTGTTTTTTGAAAATTTCGAAACTAGTGAAATGACGGGCCCGCCGGGCCGGGCCGGGCCTCCGAAATTTCGGAAAAAGCTCAGCCCGGCCCGTTACAAGTATGAATTTTTCGAAAATTTTTTAAATGTGCTAAAATGAATTCTAAACGCATAAAAATGATAAAATGAGTCTTTTCACAAGATTCTGTAGCATATATCCGTTTTGAAATCCGAAATAAGTGATTTCTTCCAAAACTCCAATGAATCGTAGTCCTTCGAAAATCACCCAATAGCACTCAAATATTGTGAAAACATAGATTTACATACTTCTTGACTGATTTATAACAGTTCCGCAACCAATATGATCAAATAGGGGGATTTCGACTGACATTTTGAGTAGATAAGGCTTTTCAGCAGTGCTTCAAGAATTTTTCAGAAATTATCTTTTTCGAGCTTTTTTCCTACTGAAATAATAAAGCAAACATAGTTTTGATTTTCGAAAAGTTCAAAGCATTCCTCCAACATCAAAGAGAAAAAGAACAACTAAAATGGACAATGACGGAATCGAACCCGAAACTTATGATTCCTATTCATCCCCAAACAGGTAGAGGGGGACTGCTGAAAAACTGCTAAATGACAGCTGAAGAGGCGCAAACTGGCGAATGACTGCTAGTTGGCAGCCGAAGGAGAACTGACGGGCCGTCGACGGTCCGTCGACGGACAGTCGGAACTCGTTGGAAAACAGACTTGAAGGTTTTGATTGGAAATCATTCAGAAAACAATTTCTCATACCCCCACTAGATTATAGGAAATGATTGAATCTTATTTTCCTAAAATAGGACCACCAATAGGTTGTTGAACGACTGCTGAATGACAGTCGAAGAGGCGCTGACTGGTCAATGACCGGTGGTTGGCGGGCCAAATTTCTGCAGAATGGAAAATTTGGTTGAAAAAGATTTTTCTCTTAAAACATGATAAAAGTCATAGAGGGATCTGGGAATCTATAAAATGTGTTATTAGAAGCACTTCTACGAAAATTAGAATCTGAGGCGCGATTGGTGAAAAACGGCTAAATGACAGTCGAAGAGGCGCTGACTGGTGGATGGCGGCTGGAAAAAAACGCTGTAAAATGAATTTCTGAATGTTCCTGGGTATCCATCTAAAAGCATGTTTTCGCATTTTCTGTTAAAATATGGTAACTGGAGTTGTCATTTCGTGATAATAATCCTCCGTTTAAGGCACGTGTTTCCGGTCATACTTTTCCCATTTTCTGAAGAGTTCCGACGAAATTTTTTTCTGAAAACGTTGTACAATTTTTGTCTGATAATGCTGTTCTCTTTTTGTTTCTTTTTCTTCAAAAATCTCGACAATTCGTTTTTAATTGCCGTTTTAGCTGACGAGTTTCGGAATTTCGGTTCGCAACGACACTCCGAAATTCCGCCTGCGCCTTGTTCAGCGACACAAGACTCAACGAATTTCTCGTCTAATTTTCACAGTTTTTTTCGTTTTTCGAAGTGTTTTCTCATTGAAATTCAGTATTTTTCGCTCAAAATATCTAAATACTGGCATTAGAAAAGCATCAAAAACATTCGCGCACTTTCTTCCTCGCGTTTTAGTTGAAAATGCGAAAAAATCGGTCAAAACTCGTTTCGCCAAAGTTTCTAAGGTTTCGCAAGTTTTTGCTTCGGAAAGTAACAAATTTAACGTTGCGGAGGTTTTTATGTGGTGAGTTGGTGAGTTTTTGTATGCTCCGAAGCAAAAACTATCGAAATCTCTTAACTTTCTCATTCTGTTGCCGAAAATTCGCCTCGCCGACACTACGCAAGTGTGATGTTTTGCAAGTGCTGTGGAAAATAACAGCTTTGCAAGGTTCGTGCATGAAAAATTATACGAAAATCTGTTGTTTTTTCTGCTTCCGATCGGCTTTAAAAATATCACATGCGATATGTCGAACTTTTGAAGTCTCTGCTAAAAATGTCGCTGAGCCTTAAACATGTAAAGGTTTTTTATATGCCAGTTTTTTTGAGTGCTCAATTCATGTTACGAACTCATCAATTTTACTTATTCTGAAAGAAAGTCATATAAAAGCGGAAAATACTGTTCAATGAGAGAAATGCTGAGAACCGAAAGAAATTGGAAACGAGAAACGAAGAAGGAAAAAAGAACGAAAGGAACGAGAAAAAAATCTTCGCATTTTGAAATTTGAATTTTTATAAAGTTGGAATTTTGCGAAAACACATAGAAAATCGAAGTTCTGTTCCCTATAGAATTTGTAATTTCTTATGTGTTTTCTCTCATTCTAATCATAAAAATTCAACTTTGAAAAATTTGGAGTTATTTTTTCAATACAATACACAATCCACAGAAACTATTAGTTTAATAAAGAATTTCTATTGTTTATTACCTGTTTAATGATGAACTGTCAAGAAAGCGCTATCATTTTTGACGGCCTGTCTTCGAGGCGCAAATCGTTGCAGACGGACCGTCGGCGGCGCGCGATTCGACTGCCGACTGTTCGCTTTTCGGCAGTCAGCGGCCGGCACAACGGCGTTTTTCGGCGGTCCCCCTCTACCTGTGCGCACTATCCACTCGGCCACTGTTGCTCGTTTCTTCCACAGTGGAGAATGTATAGGAAAGGGGGGAAAGTGGAAGGGAAGGAGGATACCAAAAAACAGCATATTTTCAGATGGACTTTTCTCGGCTTCTAGAAATTTTTGCAGAAAACCGAATACACCACGAGAAAGCCCGTATTTGAAACTATAAATGAGCAAATTAGAAAAAATTCTGAGATGAAGGCTAAACATGGTTCCCTTGTGAGATACTTTTTTTTGCTTCCGGTCAAAGATTTGAAAAAGTTATCAACTGATAAACTGTTCATCATAATATCAAAAGTGTTTCATCTGCTAACACATTTTTTTATATTTCGCAAAAATTGAGACAATTTAGTTCAAACTTGAAAGTGGGGGCCCCTTTAAGTACATGTATTACGGTATTTTTGATTTCATTCAATTTTCAGCTGATCCTCGACTTACCCTTTTCGTCACTCACGGAGGTCTCGGAAGCTCAATAGAACTTGCGCATCAAGGCAAACCGGCAATTGTTGTAAGTGTAGCAGTCCATCTGAAATTCATAAAGTCTCAATTTTCAGATCCCACTAATGGCTGACCAGCCCCGTAACGCCCATATGCTAACCAGACATGGTGGAGCGTTACAACTTGGAAAGAGTGATCTCAATGATCTTGAAATTATTCGAAACGCGATTCGAGACGTTCTGGAAAACAAAGTCTATCAGGAAAATGCAGAAAGATTGGCGAAAATCTTGAAGTATCAACCGTACAGTCCAGCCGATGTTGTTTTGAAGCATTGTGATTTCGCTGTGAAATTTGGACCGTTGGATACTTTGCAATCAGAAGGGAGACATCTAAATTTGTTCCAGTTTTACTCCTATGACATTTTTGTTGTACTATTTCTGATTGTATTATCCATCATAGTTATTATTGTGTTGATTTTTACCGTTTGCTTGAGATTCTTCAGAAAGTTTTCCAGTAACAAGGTCAAAAAGGAGTGAATAAAAACCGTTTGAGTGGGTTAGAAACTCGTGTTTATTGTTAACATTTGTTTCATCAGACTAGAAGCTCATTAGCTCTTTGACTACAAGAAAGAACCACGTTTTATCAGAACTGAAACCTCTTCCTGGTCTGCCAAAAATTGGTGAGTACATTTCCCACGCCCTTTTGATTGCGTCAACCATCCTACTATTCAAACTAGATAGTCTGAAATATAGCAAACAGGCCAATTACAGACACATGTCACC